AGGATAATTTTTTTTATAAAATATATGAAGAACACTATCAACATGTCATGACTCTGAATGAACTAAAACTCATTTGCATTCTTTCAGGTGTACTTTGCACGACTAATGCTTGCGGATATGAATAAGGAAATAAAGGGACTAAGGTTTCTTTCTTGATCAATTTAAATATGTGCTCTTACCATTGCTATTTTTGGATCTCTGAGTTTATCTAATCAGCAAGATACGTTTTTACTTTCGTTTTCCTCTTACGATACTTTTTAAGTTCTTGCTAATTATTGTGTCAGTTATAAAAAGCCGTACAAAAACTAGTCCTTCTGAATGTTTGGCTTCTCAAATAACTGAAGCTGTGTGACTTGTGTACAATTTTGACTCTCATCTTATGAAACCATATACTCTTCTATAATTTATTTCAGATGTGTCGTGAGTGGTTGCGGGAAGATTGCGATGCATGTTGTAGAGAAGCTAATTGCTTGTGGAGCCCATCCGGTTACGGTTTCAGGTGATCCACTCATCTTATCATTCCAGATTTGAAGCAACTCAAGTGTGTAGCTTTTCTGCCTTTGTTGTTTTCACCATCTCTAAGGTGGCTCTTAGTTGATCTAATAGTCGATTTAAGGCCCGGTCTGCCAGTTGAACGGTCAGATGTGGCTTATATACATTGGTGTCTTAGTCTTGGCCAAGGCTTAGAGATCTCAAATTGAATCTCTAGTTATTGACAATGAATCTTGAATAGTTAGGCCAATGTAAGAAGTTAATTCAGCTGTCTGTGACGTATTGTGCTGCTCAAGAATTAGCATTCTGTGAAAATGATTTGGTTTTCGCTTTGCAATCGAATTCCATAGACAGCAAACTTTTTTGTTGATGGAGTTGATTTATGGCACTGATTTTTGCTGATGCAAACTTTTTGCAGATTCAAAAGGATATTTGGTGGATGATGACGGATTTGATTATATGAAACTTGCATTCTTGAGAGATATAAAATCCCAACAGAGAAGTCTGAGGTATTTATCGTCCTAGAATATTATGGTATTTGTCACTGGCTAATCATATAGATCCCAACTGTACATATGTCTGTTATACAGAGACTATTCCAAGACCTATGCAAGGGCGAAATACTTTGATGAAGTAAAGCCTTGGAATGAAAGGTGTGATGTGGCATTTCCTTGTGCTTCTCAGAATGAGGTTGATCAAGCAGATGCCATTAATCTGGTCAATGCAGGCTGCCGCTTACTGGTAGAAGGTAGAGATTTCTTATATCAAGCAAAATATTTCAGGGCCTCTCGTTTTGTGTTTAAGTTTGTTTTCTGCTGTTCTTTTGTTACCTTATTCTTAGCAATATTGATGTGTTTTGTGCAGGTTCAAACATGCCGTGTACAGCTGAAGCAGTCGATGTTTTCAGAAAGGCGAATGTTCTGATTGCTCCTGCCATTGCTGCTGGAGCTGGAGGAGTGAGTTTCTTCTTTAACGCATTTACATCAATACTACAATTTAACATATTCTTTATTAGTCTTCCCATCATTAAATTACTACACTATGACATTGGAGAGGAATTCTCTGCTGCTGTCATAAAATAATGTGTAGGAGTGTGGTTTTGCTTAGAGTCCTAGAGCTGTATCAGTTTGTTTTTTATTGCATACGCGGAATATGAACCCAAAGCACATAAAAGTTTCTTAGATTGTGTAAGAAATGGTAGCTAATTTGTATAACTTTGTTGAAGGTTGCTGCTGGTGAAATCGAAGTACTCCGTGAATCGAATTCAATGCAATGGTCAGCAGAAGATTTTGAGTCTAGATTACAGGTAACAACATCTCTCACATTTCTTTCAAAAATTTAAAGCTCTGGCCTGTGATAATTACTATTAAGATAATTGCTCTGATGTTGACAGGAGGCACTTAAGCAGACTTATGAAAAAGCTCTTAAAGCGGCAAATGATTTCGGTTATCAGAAAGAAAGTCCTGAGTAAGTTTTTCTCCTCGTCATAAGCCAACAGTTACTGTACTCTGTTGGTCAAAGCTGCTCTGTAGCTTCCGCATGCTCTTAACTATTGTGAATCCAAACAATTGAAATGATTTCGGTTTTGATGTCAGGGCACTTCTTCACGGAGCAACGATTGCAGCATTTTTGAACATAGCTCAAGCCATGACAGACCAAGGTTGTGTCTAGCTAAAAAATGGCCCTGCATCTTGAGAACTGGCAGGAGTTCTGTTTCAAAACGTAATGAAGTAACATTGGACTCTCTGTAACATATTAGATGCATATCTATATCATTATTTAGAAATTACATACTCTGATAGGAATAATATTTTATCAGCCATAGTATGTTAACTTGAGTTATGTGACTTGCAAAGATGGAAGATACTGATAACGCAGAGCTTAAACAATGTTACAAGGGTTTCCAAATTTTAACTATTTGTCTTTTGACAGAGAGATTTGCTTTGAGCTGCTTCTAAACAAAAAAAGCTACAAAATCAGTGGCATTCTCTCATAAAGTGTTCTTATAAATGACAAATGGTAATTCTCAGGGTACTCTCGAGTGGATCAAAACTCGAAAACTGAGGATATGGAGATTGAATGCTTCTCAAAGCAAGGCCAGTATCTTGCATCACGATCTCTATCCAGAAAAGAGCTTCAATAATCAGTATATAAGGCTCTCCCTTAGTTTCATGTCCTTGATGGGGGAGCGGAAGAATCAGATTTCTCCGCCAAATAGTGCTCAAGCATGTCTTCTTCGTCATCTGTATCAAAAAACCAAAGCGGTTCTTGAGAACCATTGTTTGCTTATGAATAATTGCGTGTAAACCAAAAAGAAAGACTATTTCACCTTCAAAGTCTTCGTCTTCAAAGTCAATGTCTTCCTCATCTTCCTCCTCATCTTCCTCATCAGCAGTGACCACCGTTCCTCTCTGATCAAGACATTTAACAACAATAGTACTTGTTTAGATAATGAAATTCTAACATGAGTCCGATAATAAACAAGAATGAGAAATACCCCTCTGCCACTTTCGAACCACTGTCTTCCTGTAAGCTTCTTCTCCTTAGGTGCTGTAAGAGCAGACTCCGGCATCAGCCTTGGAAGTTTATCCACGGCCACAGATAAAAATTAATAAGACAGTCTTCAATGGTATATAAGAGCAAGAATATGCAGGGAAAGTTTACTCACTTGGCTCGCTCAAGTGCAAGCTCTGCCTCAAATCTCTCTCTCCATGCCAAAAATGTCTCCAGCGTAACAGGTTCTCCATGAGGGACAATTACCTGCAAAAAAAAATTTAGACGGAAGGGAACAAACAATACGAAGGCAGACGCATATATCATGGAAGCAAGACTTGAGGTTCTTTGCAGCTTATACCACCGAAATACTGAGCAGACAACAATACCTCATCCTCTTTGGCAGCTTCTTCTTCGGCTAAGTCAGCTGCATCATCTTGCCCATATTGTTCAGACAACCAGTCCTTTGCTGATGAGACCAGCGTATAGATCATGGCCATACCAAGATTTTCAGATGCCTGTGAAAAATAGCTTTGTGTAAAGTCATGCAATACGGTGTAGAAGCAGCATCATGAACTTTTTAGTTCTAGAGAATAACTAGTCATCGAAAACAAAATCGGATAATATTCTTGCTAAACTGTTCAGAAAGTCTGAATTAGGGAAATCATTGATCAGAGACCTTGCAGTCTAACACTTCACGTATAAAATTTATATAACAAGCCATAAAGTTTTAAAAATATTTTACCTCTTGTTCAAGCTTCTCTTTCAAGATGGTGAGGTCACTAACATGGATTCCTCGAATACTGGAAGAATAATACTCTACCCACATGAGTGTCATCATTGTATATCCGTTTTGGCTTGATAAAAATGGTTGAATCAAGAATTACCTTTTAACATCCAAAAGCGGAGCCTCGTCCGGATAATTTTCTGTGTGCGAGAAAACCAAAGCCAGCTGAACTGCAAGACAAATTGAGAGCTATAAGACTGAGAAAGTACGGAGAGGTATATGATACAACAAGGGATCTTCGTTAAAGACTAGTAACCTGGTGGAATTGCTGAGTCCTCCATTTCATCATCCTATTAAGACCAAAAGAAGAAGCAGAAGATCAGGAGAATAGAAAATTGCTAAAACAGAAGATATTTCAGTTGACATTTGCTACACTTATAACATAAGCTTTTCACAAATCACATACAGCTTGGTGAACAGCCAAAAGAAGCTAAAAGGATCACTGGATCATCATCTAAACAAGTTCAAGGAAATAGATGAATGGTGTTATCTACCTGAGGAGTCACTGTGATCTGAAAGCATCGATTCGAAGTATTAAGCCCACTTTCACTAGAATGAATTTCTGTTAACAATACAGTCGTTAAGAATTCAATGCTCTCATCATCAGCTCAATGATGAACATACAAGGAAACTAAAAAAAAATCTAACCTTTAAACTCATCCATAAGTATAGCTTCAAGAGCTTCAATCTCCATCTCCTGCTCCTGCTTATACTCTACAAGACACACAACACATCACCAAATAATTCTCAAATCAGTCTATCAGAAATCAAGATCAATCGGAATCCAATTACTCTCCCATCCAATGATAAGCTTAAGGGATCAAAGATTCGATGTTAAACGAAGAAATTAAGAAACTTTGATCGAACTCACCCGTCATGATGACCAAATTTGACACCTTTGTCGTGGAAGCTTTGAGATTGCCTGAATGTCGAACTCCACAGTGAGAGTCGCCTCGTGACCAAGAGCGACGATAAACCTAAAGGAGAGAACTTTACGATCCCCAAAAACGATGTCGTTTTATCTCTATTCTCACTTTTATTTTATTTTAGTGACAAAAACTGAAAAAAGGAAAGCCCTTTCTCTCTCTCCCCTCGCTTCTCTTCTCCGATCGTCTCTGTGATCTTCTTCTTCGATTTCGTTTCAGTTTCTTCTCCGAATCCCTGGAGAAAAAACTCTTCTTTGAATCTAAAGAGACTTTTTTTTTTTAAAGATATTGACTGATTGATTGATAAGGAAGAAGAAGCATTGATCGATCTGAATTTTGTGTACAAGATGTCGAGATTCAGAGACAGAACGGAGGATTTCAAGGACTCTGTTCGAAAATCTGCTGTTTCGATTGGTTATAATGAGGTCCTCGAGTCCTTCTACATCTTAAATCTCATTCAATCGAAGCTATTTTGTTAAAAAAGAGAGGACTTTTTGCATCTCAATTATGATCATTCCTTAGGGTTTTCAGGGTTTTGGATTGTTTTTTTCGTTGACATTGATCTGATTCGTTTGTCTTTGTGTGGCAGTCTAAGGTGGCATCAACAATGGCGTCTTTTATTATACATAAACCAAAGGAGAGATCGCCTTTCACGAAAGCTGCTTTCAAAACGGTAACTTTAGTAATTCAGCATTCAGAGTTTTATGTTTGTTCTATTTGACCGGGTTTGCAAGTTGGATTATCGAATGATTCTTGTATGGTGTTGGTAGTGAACTTGTTTATGTTGGTTGATTTAGCTGGATAGCATCAAGGAGTTGGAACAGTTTATGTTGAAGCATCGGAAGGATTATGTTGATCTGCACCGGACTACTGAACAGGAAAAGGATAGCATTGAACAAGAAGTAAGTACTCTGAGCTAGGCTTGCTCGTAGTATATATCTGATTACATGAAGTTTCTGAGATAAATCTATGCTTGAGATTGAACATTGGAACTATGGAATCATAAGAAAAGTAGCAACTCATAACTCAGGAAGCTGAATATCTGTTACCTTAGATAGCGACTGAGTTACTTTATTGTGACATTGAGAAACTTGGATCTTACATTCTTATATCTCTTGTGTTGTTTGATCGAAAAACTATGCCTACTTATGTGTTGTGTAATACAAACTCTCTCTCTTGCAGATTACTGCTTTTATTAAAGCTTGCAAAGAACAGATCGATATTCTCAAAAATAGTATTAGAAATGAAGAAGCAAACTCCAAAGGATGGCTTGGCCTCCCCGCGGACAACTTTAATGCTGATACTATAGCACACAAACATGGAGTGGTATGATATGCACCAATGTAGTAAGCCAACTTTGGTTTTCTTATATTTTTCGTTCAAAGTATCTAGATGTGTAGTAGTAGTGGTAATTTTTTGTTTGCAGGTTTTGATTCTGAGTGAGAAACTTCATTCAGTCACTGCCCAGTTTGATCAGCTTAGAGCTACTCGTTTCCAAGATATTATTAACAGAGCTATGCCAAGAAGAAAACCTAAGAGGATCATAAAGGAAGCTAATCCAATTAACACAACTCTGGCAAATTCGGAGTCCACAGAACCGGGTGAAATTCAGGCCCAACCTCGTAGAGTACAACAACAACAACTTCTAGACGATGAAACACAAGCCCTTCAGGTAACAAGACAATTCTACAAGGTCTTCGAAAACTTGCATGAGTTTTGTAGTTATGCTAAATTTTGAATTTTGTGATTTTTGCAGGTAGAGCTAAGTAATCTTTTAGATGGTGCTAGGCAGACAGAGACTAAGATGGTGGAGATGTCTGCACTGAACCACTTGATGGCAACTCATGTTCTGCAACAAGCCCAACAGATAGAGTTTCTTTATGACCAGGTTAGGACTTATTAACTTCTCTAAAGCTCTCATGTCAACACACTGTTTTGTTAGGCTTTCCCTGTTCTTAACATAATGCCTCCTTTGCTAGCTCAAATTTAAATTCGGATGCTTATTATATGCAGCACTTTTCCTTGTCACATTCACCTAGAGTAGGTATAGAGACGGGAAAGAATCTTCGTATTGGTCCAATTTGAATTGCTCTTAAATTTAGTGGTAGGAAATGGAACTGTTAATGTTTTCAGCTATGTGAAGTTCCTAAAACTCCTTTTGGATGTGTAAATGACTCAATGCCATTCCCAATACTTAAGTTTATCGGGCTGTGTGGTTTCCATCTCGGTAGCTTATGACTTACTTGGTAGCTCTCTTTATGTGTGTGTCTTGTGGCCCTTTTTCTCACTCAGCTTGACACTAAAATGCAGGCGGTTGAGGCAACAAAGAACGTGGAGCTTGGAAACAAAGAGCTTTCTCAAGCAATCCAACGAAACAGCAGCAGCAGAACCTTTCTCTTACTGTTTTTCTTCGTCCTTACTTTCTCCGTTTTGTTCTTGGATTGGTACAGTTAAAGAGACCATTCTCCAACAACAACCTCACACAGTTTGTGTAGATTTTGATTGTTAACTATAAATTATGAAAATTTGGAAAGAGGTTTTAATGTTAAACAAAAATTATGAGACTTTGGAAGGTACTTTGGATCCAACTCATCGTCATTTATTACCAAATTTGACACCTTTGAGATCAGATGTCTGAATATAGAACTAAACAGTTGCCTCGTGGCCTAAAGAGCGACGTAACGCAAAGATAAATAAACCTAACAGAGAGGACAAAAGTACCCCAAACGGTGTCGTTTGTTTCTGAAGTTACTCACTTGTAGTTAAGAGTTCTCTCACCTTGGATGTGCTTTTTTGACCTCCTCTTCTCTCTCAGTCTCTCTCTCTCTCCATCCAAAACCAGCCCTTTCTCTCTCCTCTCTCCTCCCTGCTGCTCTCTCTGTCTTCCATTCACTAAACCGCCGGAGCAAAAACCCTTTTCTCAGAACCAAAAGAAGAATGCGGTCTTGTCTTAATGCTATTTGATTCATTGACAGATAGAAACCTCCTAACAGGTATCTGGATCTCTGCTTCTTCTTCTCAGATCTCTACTGTTTTCAACCAGCTTAGCTAATTGTTTTCAACTTGCGAGTTCTTTGTTGCATGTTCTGTCTTTTAAGATTTTTCCATTGATTTTTGTTGGTTGCAGGATTCAAGAAGGGGCATACTTTTGTTTAGTGAAAGAAAGTCACTTCATTGAGATTTCCAAATTATAAAGTTTTGATTTTTAGGTCAGTTCGGAAGTTTTTGTGGCACTTCCGTCTCTTTTGTGTTCTGTCTTGTTGTCCTTTAGAGAGGTTTGAGAGTTTGTGTAATGGAGAGTAATGATGACCAAAACTTGGAGGCTATTAATGCGTCAGTAGGAAGATTGGTATGGGTTCGTCGCCGCAACGGGTCTTGGTGGCCTGGACAGACTCTAGTTCATGACCAAGTTCCTGATAACTCTTTGGTTTCTCCAAAAGTCGGCACTCCAATAAAGCTTCTAGGTCGTGACGATGTTAGCGTGTGAGTATACTCTTTACTCTTCTCTCTTCCACAATCTCATTCTCTTTGCCCTTGGTTAAAAGTGTTTTTCTTTATGACTCTAGGGATTGGTATACTCTTGAAAATTCCAAGACGGTTAAGGCGTTTCGTTGTGGAGACTATGATACTTGCATTGAGAAGGCAAAGGCGAGCTCTAGTAAGAAGAAGACTGGCAAGTGTACTCGCCGAGAAGATGCCATTAACAATGCTCTCGAGATTGAGGATGAACATCTTGCAAAAGAAGAAGATAATTTGTGTACTTTATCTGGTGAGGAAGATTCTAAAAGGTGTCTTTCTGGCAATGAGGATGAGGATTTGGGATCCTCTGATGCAGAAGAGACTGAAGATGAATTGGACTCAGCGCCAGAGCAATTGCAATCCAGTATGTCATCACAAGAAATGAATAACGTTGGAGCTTCTAAAGTGCAGCCAAAGAGAAGAAGAACACCAAATGACTCGGAAGATGATGGGACTGAAGGAGTCAAGCGAATGAGAGGGCTTGAGGATATTGGGAAAGAACAGGCTGGTGCTATAGTCGAGCATAAGGAAGAATTGGGTTTGATCTGTGCTGTAAGTCTCAGTGATTCAGTGTCGAATGGAAATATTATTGCCAATGGGAACAAGGTATGCTCCCCACTAAAAAGAAAAAACTCACAAGTCCTAAATGTTAATGAGTGCTCTAAAAGGAAAAACCGACGCCGGCAATTGACAAAGGTGTTAGAGAGTACAGCTATGGTCTCTGTCCCTGTTACCTGTGACCAACTTGTCAGTTTGGATTGTCAAGAGATTTATGACAGCAAAGTATCAGGAATGGAGTCTGTTGAATCCATGAAAAGCGTATCTGTTGTAATCAACAATAACTCGGACAGCACCGGGATTTCATGTGAGGATGCTTATGAAAATGTTGTCGGAGCCTCCCATAACAACAAGGCAAAAGACAGTGAGATTTCCAGCATATCAGTTTCGGCAGAGGATGATTCTTCTGACAGATTATTTGATGTTCCACTAACTGGAGAAGAAAACCACTCAGAAGGTATAAGTGGTTAAACCTCTCTTAAGTGTTTGTTTATGTTTGTTTCTACATGTTATGGCTGCTCTAGTTTCATGAATCTGCATATCTCCTCTTCTGGGAAGTAAAGGAACAAAAGCTTGTTATTGTCATCTAGTTAATCTGGTCACATGATAGATTAAAGAGGTTAGATGACCATTTTCTGGAGAAAACTAAACAGCTTTGGTGTTTCTTTAGTCTAAAGTTCCTCCCAATGTTGGACTTGTTTAGTTGTTTTATAGCTAAATTGCATTCTTTATATTTTTGTCCTTGACTTGTTTTATGAGTAAATTGCTTCTGCATTCAAAATCTGCTAGTAGTGTGTTTTTTTCTCCACCTTCTTAGGATCCAAAGGTTTGTTCTCTTTAGTTAGATCTAATTTGGTGGTTTGCTCTTATGGCAAAATCATTTGCCTCTGTTTTGGTTTGTTAACACTGTCATTTATGCTGACATCCATTGTTATATTTTAGGCTTTCCGGAAACTTGTAGAATCTCCTCATCAAGGAAAGCTCTTGTTGCTGATTTAACCAGGCGGTGTGGTCGAAGTAGTCACAATGTGTTTGTTAAGAATGAGGGAAGTAATGGATCAGCTTGTACAAGTCCACCAGCTTCAGAACCTGTCAACTGTAATTTGAGCGGGATTGAGAAGAGCACTTCTAAGTGGAAGTTAAAAGGAAAGAGAAACTCAAGGCAGATGAGTAAGAAACAAGAAGAGAGAAGAAATGTGTACGGTGAAGAAGCTAATAACAACAGTTGTACGCCTCATTCTGCGCTGTACGAGGTGAAAATTGAGGTAAAAGCAAACTATAACAAACCCCGTGTTCCGCTGGTGTCTCGTATGAGTGAATTGAATGGCAAAGCTATTGTTGGGCATCCTTTAAGTGTTGAAATCTTGGAAGAAGACTACTCCAACGGTATGGTGATGCCTCAAGTTGTTGCGAAGGCGAAGTCATTGTCCAAAAAGAATGGCAAGAAGAGGAAGTCACGTGGTTTTTCATGGAATTCAAAGAAGAAATCGTCTTCCCTGTCAGTAAAGACGAGGCGGCTCTCTACTCTAACGAGCCAGAGGTTGACGGAAAGAAGCAAGAAGCAGACAACAGAAAAGGCAAAGGAAACGGTTGTAGCTTGTATACCGTTGAAAGTAGTTTTCAGTAGGATAAACGAAGTGCTGAAAGGCTCAGCAAGACAAACACAGCACCGAGCATTGCCATCTGCAGCCAAAATATGAGAGAGAGAAGATAAATTTTTGGCTGGCTTTACGTTTGTTTGTTTTCCCTTCATCGATCTGCCTGGGTTTTGAAGCATAAACTAAGATGAAAATAGGCTGCTGCTTTGAAGAAGTTGGAAGTGAGTAAATGTAAATATATCAGTAGTTAGTGGTTGAGGTGTAAAACTGAGATTAGGTGGGAGGGATGAGAAGATTGATGCTTAGAAAGAATTTTGCTTGTATCAGGTAACTCATTATTGTTTGTTTTTTTTTGTACTCTCAAGTTCTCTTGTATCGATGAGGAAGAAAGTCTTTTCTTTTTCTTGCTGTGTTTATCATTCTGTTTCAGAAAGTTCACCGAATCTTTGATCCTTTAGAAACACTTACAAGAGCAAACTCTTAATAAAAGGGACTGGAGACATTTTCAGTTCAGTGTCAATCTTGACATCAAAGCCAAAACTCCTTACATGACTTTTTGCTGTTACTTGTTTGATGTGTGTTGTTGGCTTCAGGTACAAGAAAAGATGGAGAGGAAACTCTACAGTCTCAATTCCCACAAACATGCTGGTAAACTATTAATGAGAAATTAGAGAATATTAATACTTTTGTTTTGTTCTTAAAGAACATCTATGGAAAGCTTATATTAGAGTATCCTCAATGCATTTCTAAGAATTAAAAAGCATAATGAAGTGTCATAAAAAAAAATCATGCATTATGATTTCCTTGCGAGAATTTGGGAATATAATGAAATTATTTGTCACAAATTTTAAGTTTCACATTTAAATTTTGGAAGAAACAAGAATGGGATGGAACATATATGAATCGGAATTTAGAGAAATGTAAACTTATTTTGATTAAAAAAGTGTGATTTTAGTCAAATGGTTAAATGTTTGGGTCTGACTGGCGAAAACATGAGAAGAAATGAGTAGAATTATACAGAAGAAAGAGAGAAAAGAAAACGTTATTTTAGAAGAAAAGTTTCTTCTGCTATTTTGTAGAGGGATAAAATCATCTTGTTTTATTCTGTTTTTTGACTTTTCATTAGAAAAAAAGTTATTTTCATTTTCTTCTGACTGGTGAATATATACACAAATGAATTCAGAATAATTAAAATTCTAATCTTTTCTTTTCTTCTAAAAACGTCTACCAGTCAGACCCTTTGTCTCCACCAAAGTTCAGTTCCAGACACCCTCGTTACTCCGTGTTGTAGAGTTTTGGTTAACGATTGGGTCTTATCAAACCAAATGATGTAAAAACAAAATAAACTTTATTTTTGAAAAGAGACAAATGAAAATATTGATCAGAATATTATTATTACATTCCAAAAAGAGAAATTGTCAATATCTAAAATTCTCTTCAATTAAAACAAATGTACGAAATAAAAAAAAATTAGAAGAAAATCTAAAATAATTAATATTTTTAACTTTCCTTTTCAAAAACCCGAATGTTATCTTAAGTATGTGTTTTTGAAAAGAAAAGTTGAAGAAGATTACTTTTTAAAGATTTTCTTCGGTTTGTGTTTTTATTTTGTCTAGTCTCTAGTGATATGAATGAAGGAGATAAAATTAGGGTGATGCTTTATATTTATCAAATGTATATTTAGTGTTCTAAAATTCGGTCAATACAACCATATATACAGTTGTTTAATACGGTAACAGCTATACGGTCCATATATACGGCGATTATATGTCGTATATACGGTAAATTCCGCATATACGGCGCTTTTTTAGAAAGACTCAAAAACTAAAATTATGTCAATTTATTAATGTTTGGAAAATTCTTCAGTAAGCCCTATATAAGTAAAGATCATAAAAACCCTAAATGAGAAAAGCTCTCACAGAATCAAAAGAAATGAGAAGAAAAAAAAAGAACCCTAAATCGAAAACCTCCCAAAATGAGATAAAGAAATCATCAGAGTCTCTGACGACGTTTTCTTCATTACCGTATGACCTGACTCTGAACTGTTTGGCTCGTGCCTCGAGATTCTATCATCCATTTCTATCAATGGTCTCCAAGAATTTCCGATCTATCGTGGCTTCCCCTGATCTCGAGGCTACACGAACTTGCATGGGACTAACAGAGAATTACCTAGTTGTCTGCTTAGACCGTGGTAAGCATAAAGATAGTTGTCGCTGGTTCACACTTGCACCAATTCACAAACAAGAGAAGTTACTTCCCATCCCTTCGTTTCCTTATCTAAATCCAAAATACTCATCTGTTCTCTCAATTGGTTCAGAGATTTACATTATCGGAGGTGATGGTCAAAAGTATGGCAAACGAGTGTTAGTTTTTGATTGTAGATCTCCTTATCAACGGCGTAGACTCCCCAAGATGCGTGTACCTAGAAGAACTCCAGCCGTTGATGTAATCGACGGTAAGATCTATGTGATTGGAGGCTCCATGTCCGATAATATTGAGGATTGGGGAGAGGTTTATGACCCAAAGGCACAAACTTGGGAGCCAGTATTGCCCACAACTAGTCAAATGAGTTTGGTTCCAGGTAACTTGGTAATGGGTGGCAGTTTTTATAGCATGGATACTGACTACCAGCTTAGCTTTATAACACAATTTTGTGTGATAAAGATAGACAACATGTTGTGTAGAATAAGGTTTTACTTTGGGAAGTTTCTTTGGTGTGATCTAAAAGAAAGTTGGAGGTGGACTATGGTTAAGGGACTCCAAGGACTGCCGAACTTTGAATATATTATTCCGTGTTCCGACGGAAGAGGAAGAAGTGTGACAGGTTGGTGGAAGACGGTGGTGTATCCATCTCATCCAGGTCCCAATTGGTCTAGGGTACCTATAACGAATATTTGGTGTGCAGAGATTTCGTTTAAAAGACGCTGTTCAGGAATGCTTTGGGGATTTGTTGAATGGTCTAAGATTGTGTTTACCTTGGACCAATGCGATTTTTTTCCTTATCATTTCCTTTTGCAATCTGCTATTGTCACTTATTGATTGAGAGGATTTTAAAATTTGTGAGGATTATTTTACAACTTGTTAAGTATTGAAGGTTGTTTTAATTTGATTGTTTAGTTTCAATCTTGACATCAAAGCCAACTCCTTTTACCATGACTTTTTACGGTTACCTTTCTTTTTAGATTGCTGTATTTGAAGATTCGTCATGTGTGATAGCTTGAAGTGCAATAAAATATGGAGAGGGTTCTATAGGTTCAATTCTTACATGCAAACATTCTGGTAAGTACTATTAATGAGAGAATAGAATATATTAAAACACTTCAAGCTATGGAAAAGTTATGAAATGCTTTTAGACAAATGGTTAATTAAATGTCCACCTCCACCAGAATTCGATTTCAAGCACCCATATTATTTCGCGTTATAGGTTTTTAGTTATGGCACTTTATTTGGAGATATGGTTTTAGTCAAATGGTCTTCCACCGGAATTCGACATCAAGTACCCACATTATTTTGCGTTATAGGGCTTTAGACTTTTAGTCATGGATTGGACTTCGTCGACAATATGATTAGATCAAATATTTCTCATTAATGATGATGCAATAAATGATCAAATATCTAATCCGACGACGACATTTTCTTCGTTACCATACTCCAAACTGTTTTTTGTGTTTTAATGAAACCCCAAAATTTTGGCTCTTCACATATATAAAGAAAATTGTCAAAGAAATTTATTGGGCCCTGAACTTTTGCGCCGCTACGAAATGATGTTTTTTGAAAAGTAAAAACATATTTATAAACAAACATATGAAAACATTAATCAGAATATTACAATATTGTCAATAATGGAAATTTCCCTTAGTTAGTTAAATAAAGGGTCTAAGCACGTACATAAACCCTAAAACGGGACAAAAAGCACGTACATAAACCCTAAAACGGGAATAGGTCCTAGAATCAGAGGACAATGAGGAAGAGAAAAAACCCTAAATGGAAAACCTTCCAGAAGAAACAAAAGACAATTAGGACGGAACAAGAGATGAATAAATCATCAGATTCACCTCTTCCGACGACGTTTTCGTCGCTACCGTACGACCTCGTTCTCCATTGCTTGGCCCGTGTCTCGACACTCTGTCGTCCAACTCTATCTCTTGTCTCCAAAAATTTCCGATCTCTCATGTCTTCCCCTGAGCTCGAGGCCACCAGATTCCGCATGGGCCGATCTCTTATGGCTTCCCCTGAGCTAGAGGCCACACGAACCCGCATGGGAATAACAGAGACTTACCTCTGTGTCTGCTTAGACCTGAATAAGCACTACTCTAGTTCTCACTGGTTCTCACTTGCACCAATTCCCAAACAAGAGAAATTACAACACAACGTTTCGTTTCCTATGCTATATCCCCAATACTCTACTGTTATCTCAATTGGTTCAGAGATTTACATAATTGGAGGCTTAACTGGTGGAATAAAACGATCGTTTAGAGATAGTGTGTTAGTTTTCGATTGTCGAACTAATCAAAAGCGTAGGGTCCCCAACATGCGGTTACGTCGAGATACTCCAGCCGTTGATGTTATTGATGGTAAGATCTATGTGATTGGAGGCACCGAGTCCAGTAATATTGAGGATTGGGGAGAGGTTTATGACCCAAAGACACAAACGTGGGAGCCAGTATTGCCCACAACTCTAGATCTCACTAAACAAATGAGTGTGGTTCCAGGTAAATTGGTAATGGGTGGCAAAGTTTATGCTATGAAGGATGGCTACAATCTTCGCTTGATGAAGGATTTTTGCTTGGTGGAGATAGACAACATGTTGTATCAAACACGGGTTTCGAAAGGGATTTTACGTTGGTCTGATCCAAAGAAAAATTTGAGGTCGACTAGGGTTAAGGGACTTGAACGACTGCCGAAATGTACTCATCTTACTTTGTCGGCAAATTCTGACGGAGGAAGAAAGAGAGTGACAGTTTGGTGGAAGACGGTGGTGGTGTCTTGCGGTCAAAGTCGCTTTTGTACTAAAGAATGTAAGACAAAGATTTGGTGTGCAGAGATTTCGTTTAAGAGACAAGAAGGTCTAGGAGAGCTTTGGGGATATGTTGAATGGTCTATGAATGTGTTAACCCTTTGCAGATGTGACATTCCTAATTCCCGTTTCCTTTTGAATTCTGTTATTGTGACTTATTGATCAATGCGATTTTAGTTTAGTTTTTGAGAGGATTTTAGGATTTTTGGAGATTATTTTACAACATTTGAGCATTATTGTAAGAGATACTAAACGAAGCTAAATTTATGATTTTTTTTTTTTTTTTTTTTTGCTAATAAATTTATGATTTGATGCGATTGTTTTTTATTGAACCTTTATTGTTGTTTCTGAGAATTATCATTTTTGTTCCATTTTCAATAGCAAAGTCTTATCCTATGAAGATGTTATTGGGCTAAGCTTGAAGATGGCGTGAGGCCCAAGCAATGATCAAAGGCGGTTTACTAAAGGCTTAAGGAGTTATCTTA